CTGTTCTCCATAATTGAGCCCAGACACCCAAATCCTATAAATATCAGCCTGCCTTCTTCAGAGACATTGTCAAGACTTTTAAGGCTGTGTTCTCTGTTACTGAAGAAGTCTAGTAAACACAGTATCACATTCTTAGCAGGTGCAGTGAAGACATATTGAGGGAGTTCAATAATGTAATTCATTCAGCCCTCATAATTCCTCTGGAGGATGGAAAGCCCAAGATCAAAGTGGACCTCTTATTATGTCCTCACATGGTGGAAAGCAGTAGGGCAAACATGTGAACCTATTCCTGTAACCCCTTTAACAGTGATACTAATTCATTCATAAAAGTGGAGCCATCATGATCTGCCATCATAACCTAACCATCTTTCAAAAGGCCCTGTTTCTCAACACTGTTCCATTATGGATTAAGTTTCCAGCACAGGAATTTTGGATGGGACAAAAATATTCAAACCATAGCATTCTATTCCAGCCCTCCAAGATTCATGTACTTTTCACATACAAAATTTACCCATTTTATCGCAGTAGCTCCCAAAGTTTTAACTTATTCCAGCAACGTATTTCCCTCTAGCTATGAGCTTGTGAAATCAAATGATTTATGCGCTTCCAAAACACAACTGTGGGAAAAGCATAGACAGACATTCCCATTACAAAAGAAACAAGAAGAAAAGAATCCCAAATTAATCCCAAGTAAGTGCAAAAACCAACAGAGCAAACAATACTAACTCTTAAGGCTTGAGCATAATCATCTTCAATTCTATGTCCTGTGGCATGCACATACTGGGGTAGAGATTGGGACCCTAAAGCTATAGGAAGCCCACACTATGGCTCTGATACATTGAAATTGAATGATGGCAGCATACCCAGGTTAGTGCTTGTTGCTGGAGGCTTTACAGTGCCGAGATCTCAGAGGGAGATTGGACTTCTCTGGTTCCACGAGCATTCTAGTGAGGACTCACTCAGGCAGCCCTGACCCTGCAGTTCTGCTCAGAATTGCCTGTCAGGGTTCTCTATGGTGGCTCATAACCTGCAGCAGGTTTCTGCCTAGGCCCAAAGTTTTTCTGAGGCATTCTCTGAAATCTAGGTGGCAGCTATGTACCTACAATCCATACAGTCAGTGTATCTGCAGAATTAGCACCAGAAAGCCTGATACCAGGGCCACCACTTGTCTGCTCCAGCTTGGTGGCCCAAACTGCACATGCACCTGCTTCAAGTACCACTGCAGCAGCCAAGGAGGACTATGCAGGAAGGCAAGGAGCAGAGACTTTAGGTGGCCCTGGGCAGAGGTTCTAGGAGTGACACAGGTTTGTCTCTTTAAGTGGTTCTGCCCTAAATCCCTTTACATTTTGGGTCTGCGAGTGCCATGCTTGACAAATGGCACAGACTTACTTCTACCCATAGTGATCTCATCAAATGACCTTTTGGCCACATGCTCTGTTCAACATGCAATTTTTATTTGTTACATGACCAGGCTAAGACTTTTCCAAATCTTCATATTTTGATTCCCTTTTGATTATAAATTCAGTCTTTAAACTAGGTCCTTCTGCTTGGGAGGAAGTGGCAGAACCACTGAGCTGAATCTCTGCCTTTTTTCTTTCTTTCGTTTTGTTTTTTTGAGACAGGGTCTCACTATGTAGTTCAGACTGCCCTGGAACTCACTATGTAGCCCAGGCTGATCTTGAACTCAGAGATCCTCTTGGGATTACAGGAGTACGCCACCATGCCTGGCTAAACCCTTCCTTCCTTTCTTTTTCCAGTTTACCATAAGAAGTTCAGAAGACTCATGTAGCCTTCTGTATACTCTACTGCTCACAAATTTCTTCTACAAAATATTCTAGCAATTTACAGAGTACATGTATTCTTTCACAGTTCTTAAGTTCCTCTGCTAATGAAAGAATGAAAGAGTTGCAATTCATTTTTCTATACTAAAGTGTTTTCTACACATGCTCCTTTTTCTGTTACAATGAGAAATAAATGTTACATAAATATCTGGGTACCAGGGAAGATCTTAGGCAAAATTATAAAAGGAATCAAAGTAGGCTGGCCAGGTTTTCTGTTCCTTCCTGGACAGTTACTTGTACAACAAACAAGATGAGGCCATAAAAGAACATTATGCTAAAACAAAAAGGTAACTTAGCAAAAAACAATGAAATACACGTTTCAACGTTGAAACTGGAACAGATTCTGAGCCAACTAACACGAATATGACCAATCAACTGGTAGTTTTTTCTTTTTCATTCTTATTGTTTTCAATCACTGAAACTGCCTGCCAAAAACATTAAAAGAAAAGCTGATGGTGAACTTTACACTAGATACATTAGGGTCACAAAAACTGAAAGCTGCTGGTCTTAGCATCACTAAATGTGTGACAACCAAACGGATGTGCCTCCCGATGTGATGCAATTTTTGATTGCACATAACCTTATGAAGCATTTTTGCCCAAAGTCAAAGACAATAATAACCTACATTTAATCAAGTTACATGAAACAAACTGATATAAAAGAATTTTTGAGCCAATCACAGGTATGTGACTGAGAACAACTATAGATCTTACTATAGAAAAAACTGTTAACGGTTAGGAATATGTACTGAAATGTTTATGATGAGTAATAAACTGCCTGGGATTTACTTTAAAATTTTGTACAAGGAGGTTTGGGTACTGAGTGTGTGTGTAAATTCATGTGTGCAGATGGAACACAATTGGTAAAATGCTGATAACTATTAAGTCATCATGAGTATACAAAGAATCTTAAAATCTACTTTCTATTTGATATGTTTCAAATGTTATAGAATACAAAGATTAATAATGGCTTATTTCCCCAACACTGTCCTAGCTATACATAGTTCATTATCATTCACATATATTTTGGCTGCAAACTCAATTATTATAATCAAAAGCAAAACAATTATTCTCATCTAATAAAATACTACAAAACTGCAGAATGAAGTCACTCTTCCACAGAGTCTTAGGCTTTTCAGCTGAGTATCAAAGAACCTTTATCTCAGCTGTCCATTTCTTCTGCGTACATTAATAACTTCAAGTTTTCTGGTAATCAAATGAATTGTCCCACACTGAGCAAGGCGCTGGCCTCCTTCCATTCAATTTTGCTTTATTTAGATAGGTTTTTTACAGAGCACAAGGTAATTTCATTAAGTGCAAACCCATCAGCTTATTTTAGTACATAGCCCCAAGAATTCTTAAAATGAACATCACTTATAAGTTGCATATTCCTTTAAGGGAACAGAATATTACCTAATATAACTTAGATTAAAATATAGTATAAAATGTGCTTTGCATTAGGCACTTTTTATAAATGGCCTGCCTCTGAGTATTTCTTCCTTTAAATGTGGAGTTTTCCTCATAGTAACATGAAATCCCTTGCTAAATGTGGAAGAAAATGCCAATGATGCTCAACATTTGAGTGTATCTAAACTTGTAACTTTTATTTTTAAAGCAAAAGTCAAAATGTGATATGTAGCAAGTTTAAGGGTCTCAAATACTGAACAAAAAGTGTCCCATTGAGATATTAACTCAGAAATATAGGTCAAATCAATTAGAATACTTTTGTTAAGTTGGTATTTATTTATTTATTTATTTATTTATTTTTGAGACAGGGTCTCACTCCTGTAGCTCAAGCTGGCCTCAAACTCATGGCAATCCTGAGCCCCAGCCTTCCAAGTGCTGGGATGGAAGGCATGTGCCACCACACCTGGCTACATGTTCCTATTTTATTTATTTATTTATTTTTAACTTTTTTCAAGCTTCTATTCTTTATTAGTATGGGCGTGCATCACATAATGATTACATTCTTTGTGGGAAGTTGGTAGATGTACGCGACATACCTCAATCTTTGCTCATCCCCTTATCCCCCATTTCCCTCCCTCCATCTTGATTCCCTTCACATTTGAAAAAGATTTATCTTCCTACTTGCTATTATTTATTTTCCTCTTTAATTTTCAATTTCTCATATAAAAGAAATCATGTTAAATTTAAACTTGTGTGCCTTATTTATTTCACTTAATATTATGTTTTTAACATGGATATATCCTTCCAAGTGCTGGGATTATAGGCATGCGCCACCACGCCCAGCTTAAGAAAAATAAATTTGAATCATTTGCAGGAAAATAGTTGCACCTTGACACTTTAATAGTAAGTGAAATAAATCAGACAGAGAAACTTGGTTCCTCTTATATGAGAATCTAAAATATAAATAAAGAGCAAAACAAAAGATAGGTATAGGGGAAAACATTTCTCCACGACACAGGAATCAATAGACTGAAGAGAAAGCTTAAAGAATGGTAAAATAATGTTTTGCTAGCTACACCTCAGGTAGAGGACTAATATCTACATGACATAGAGAACACAAAAATATTATAGTCTCCCAGAAAGTAAATTACCCAATCAAAAATGAGCAATTGAAATAAATGAAAAAGTACAACTGGCCAAACATTTTAAAATGTTGAACATCAGTAGCCATTAGAGAAACGCAAAGTAATCAACATTGAGATTTCATCTTACTCCTGGCCAAATGGCTGTCATGAACAAATCAAATGACTACAAACGGAGGCAAGGCTGGGTGGGGGTGGCGGGGGAGAACACTGTAGAAGTACATCCAATATGGAAATCAATACAATGATTCCTCAAAATACTAGAAAGTATATTTAACTCAAGCTATTCCCCTTCTAAGTAATTTCCTGGACAAGATAAAGATTTCACATTACAGGGATGTATACAGACCCATGTTCATAGCAGTATAATTTATAATAGCTAAACGTTGAAAGGGTCCTATATGTTTATTAACAGATGAGAAGATAGAGAATTGTGATATTAATACACAATGGATTACTTCTCTGCTATAAAAAGGATAAAGTTCCTATTTTATTAATGTATGCTTTGACAATATAAAAATAAATTATGACCTGTTGTTGGCCCTTGTTTTGTTGTTTATTTAAAATATATAGCAATTATTTAAAAATATTTACATAGGACATAAATGTTTAAAAAAGCAATTGTAGCAACAAGTCACATAAATAGGTATAACTATTAATCTGCTTTAATTGAAATCACTGCTGCTTCTTCAGAGCAATAACAGCGTAACATCTGGGAGATTTCACAGGATCAAATAACTTCACAAGTGCAGACCATGCAATATCTTCCTGCAAATTGATAAGCAGTTCAGAAATACAAACATTTATTGAACGACAACAAAAAAAGGACAGATGAATCATTATATAACCATCACAGGAAAAGCTACATAAAAAACCACTATATAAAATAATTCTATTGTTTCTTGAATAAAACTAACATTTACAATGTTACCTTCTAGAAATTACGCTGAGAAATCAAACAAACACACAGAGATTGAATTATAGGGTATTCTTTGCTGTGATTATGAAAAAATAGACATGGCCAATATCAAATGGGTATTAATTAATCTTATGATACAACATTATTATATTCACTTTGTGCTGTACAAAAATGAGATGAGAAAATCCTATATAACCTATATTACATATGAAACTGCATTTATAAAAATTCCAATCTTAAAGTATAAACTGTATACATGTATACATGCAAAAATCCATATATATATAACATCATTAGGAAATATATCAGATATTTAACAGCGCTAAAAGATGGGATTATAGTTACTTTTAAGAATTTTTAATAATTAAAAAAATTAAAATTTGTATGCATTTTAGATTTCTAGCAAAAATATATATTTAACATATTAAAATTAATAATTCTATGCGTCCTATTATACCATGAGGACCTATAATGTATGCATACTGTTTTGCCTAATGGTTGTACTTAGGTGAATGGAAATTTTTTTTAAGAAGGAAAATGTGTCTCCATAAAATAACTGCTGATTTTGTCACTAGCAACTTGGGAATCAAACTTTTCCAGTGATTTGGACTTAGTTGGCCATTTAGGAAAGCATATCATCATTTACATACTTTAAAAATTTGCCTTTCTGCATAATAACAAATTAGAACAAAGTCGTATTTATTAAACTCAATCTGTTCCAAGAGGTCAGTTGATAAGTAAAAAGTAAAGTTTCCTACATGGTAAAATTGTTAAGAAAGGGTTAACAGTAGAAAATTACGCTGAGTCTTCAAATGGGTTTAAGTAGTTCACAATGTTTCGATGCAGCCTAGTACAATCTGAAAAATATATTTTCCTTAAAGATAACTCAAAAGATGGTATTCTGTCATTTAACATACATAAAACAAATAATATTGTGAAACAGCAGAAATAATCTTCACCAATTAGAAAGAAGTTTCTATACTGCAAACTATGTATGTCCAAAGCTCCAAAAATGTATTAAAGGTAAAATCTTACAAAATGAGATATGTATGCAACGCTTTTTATATCTGGCCTTTATTAATTTTGGCTATACAATATGTCATACATGTTGGCTTGTGTTCACTGTCTGTTTAATAATGACCATACAATGAAAAGAACATACATTTTATTATATATATAGCAGTTTTCCTAAAGAGATCTGTTATACGTCAACAATGAGATGGAATAAATATTCAAATATTTAAATATTAAAAGATTAAATATATGAAAATATAGTGAGAAATATTATCTTACCAGTTTTATGTGAAATAATTTACCCTAGATATGACTGTACTAACATTACTATACTTAATAAACATATTTACTATTCATTTAAAAATCACACAATTTACCTGCTCTTTCAGGTAGCAAAGTCGATCCAGAAGAATCAATGTCTCTATACAAGGAGCCAAAACGACTTTTAACTAAAAGAATAAGATAAGATAGTAGTCCTTAAATAAAATACCTTATTTTCTGAACACTTATGCTTAAGAAAATGTATCTACATAAGTTTCCATATGACAAATCTTCAGAAAATGAATACTGCAGAGATCAAAAGTTTTCCTTTAATAAAATAAGAAAATAATATCCTTTCAGTGACTTTGAGGTAGAATCCAATAAGCAATCATATGTGATAAAAAGCTTTTAAAAGGGTAGTAAGAATGAAATCCATTAAAAGGAATGCTTGTGAAGTAACTGCATTGATACCAATATGTGTTCAAAGGACTAAAACTTCTTTCTGTGTATTTATAATAAATTTTAAGAGAAATCTACCATGTGTTCTTTTTATTACATTACCGACACCTAATTTAGTTCTGAAATAGGAAAGGATCCAAAACAGTTTTTCTATAGAAAGAGAAAAACAACATGGATTGGTTCACCCCCAATAAAATTTAGGGAATGGTACTCAAGTCTAGCAGCATATCCAATTTAATATGTTTAAGTCTAAGATTTACCATATTAAAAGCTTCCAGCTCATTCATTCTAGGCTTATACTTCTCATAGTAGTCCATTATAGTTTTTTCAGGCAGCTTCAAAATAAAAATAAAAACAATAAATTTATCAACAGTCAAAAATAGTTAAAATTTTTCTTTATCATACATATCCTAATGCAAAATAAATATAATATCAATTTAAAACCTTAGGTGTTTAAAGAGCTCTCAGAATATTCATGTAGCAAGTCAACATAGCGAAATTCTTTCAGTTAAATTTTCCAAAGGCATATAGAACATAGTTTAGTATATTATAAATAAAATCACCATATCTCCTTAATATTGTATAATTTCAATACCTAGTAATGAAATATTTACTCTTATTACTATGCTTGTGGAAGAATTAAAGAAAGCATTTTTTGAATTAAACTAAAATCAGAAACTTATCTAAAAACCGTATCTTAGAGATACTCAAAGGCAACAGGAACAAAATAATGGCATATATTCACATTTAAAATAATTTTCTCTATCATCCACTTAACAAATATACCAATGAACATTACTTTGTTTTTTTTCTCTAAAAGATATATCCATAGTATGCTGAACTCTCCTCTCCTACTACGGAGGACCATTTCTAGATTATGTACAAGTTCCTGCACCCACCAGCTGAACTTTAAGATTACTGAATCAACTGTTTCTAAGCTTTTAGTGCCAGTTCTATTATTGTAACAATATAAATAAAAACTGCACAATGAAATACAAATGCAAAAGGATAATTTGTTTCTATAAGTTGAATGCCTTTGTGAGGGGCTTAAGGAAAGACACTAAAAGAAACTGCGACCAAATTACTTGTTAAAACAAATAAAAACATGTATAGTCAAAATATGAAAATATTAGTCATATTTCCTTGCAAATGTCTAAATAAATTAATTTTTTTCAAAGCCCCTATTCTTTTGTTGTTGTTGTATTGCACTAAACATCTTTTGAATTTAAAAAAGTATAAAAGGGTAAGGGTGAAAAGGCTGTCTTATCCAGTTTCATGTAGAACCTCTCAGAAAAGATCTCTTATCCCACACAGAGTTCATGCAGATGACTCCTCCCTCATCCTTTAACCATCTTTGAATTAAACGAGCACATCCTAGACCAAGCATGTGCAGTACAATTCCAACCTGCACTTCAAGGCAGCAAGAATTCTCATCTCACAAAACTGTGTGTCTGAATGCGGTTTTTACTTCTCCTCCACCCCTAGATGTGCTGTTGAAGGACAAGTTGGAACTCACAATCTCTGTTTATCATCCTACTTCCTACAACATGGTCTTTCAAGGTAATTCCATGGAGTCTGTCCTTTGTGCCACACTAGGAAGAACCGTCAAGGCCATCAGTTGCCTTCGTTCCAAACCAGGGACTGAAGATTGTAGTCCTCAGTAGACGGCCCTTGGACAACTGCTTTCTATCAGCTTTGTCTGAGATGGAACTCCTCTGGGATTTCCTCTTGGCCTCTTTCTGTATTCCTCTTTCATATTCACTGTACTGGACTTTATAATGCACACAGTTTGAAATTTAAAATGTCATTTGGATTTATCAAAGAGTTTGTGTTCCTGCTTCACGTTTGTTACTCTCGAGTGACTGAGGAAAGAAAATGTGAGAACACAATCTTTATTCTCCTAACTTGAAAATAAGACTGTACTTTAAAAAACCAAAGCTGGACATGACAGATTATGCACTACAGAAATGTGTAATGAAAAAAAAATCAGGGTAGATATTCAAACAGTGATACCACATGCAAGCCTTTGTGCAAAAAGCAAAGCAAAACAAAACAGAATGGATTGTTCTTAGAGCAAAAACTTGCCAAATAAACTGTATTTATGTTTTTAGGAGAGAAATTCAATACTTATGATTCCATGCTTTAATCAAGTTTTTCAATTAGACAGTAAAAAACTCTAATCAGTTATAAGAAAAACTTAACTGAAGACATCATCTCATTTAATTCTAACACCAGTATTTTAAGATTCTGGAATGAGCTAGTATGAGTTGTGTAGCGGGCCATCACTTAGTGAGGTACGGGTTAGAGTCATGGAGATACCCATTCCTGAAGAGAACTGGAGTGGAGATGTCAATGAGCATTTCGTCTACACTCCCTTTCTTGTAATTTGTTGACAGTTATTTTATTATAATATAGGCTATGAGTTTTAAAAAAAAGTATGTATTTTTACTCTCCGCGTTTCATACACTTGACCAACTTCATCCTGTCTGCCAGAATTTGCAGAGTCAATGCTCTGAATATAAATATTTTTATTCTATTCTTCATTAAGACTCATCATTTCTTGAATTTTACTTGACTTTCTTTTAAACTTCAATCCCTCAATCTGCTTTAGAAGTACATTTATTTAGTCTGTTTGAAAGCATGACTTTTCTCTTTATCCTTATTAGACTTGTTTACCTGAAGACTGATAGTTTGGAAAAGTGTCAAACAAGCATTCTTCTTGCGCACAATATCTGGGCATAAGTTACATTAAGTATGACAAAAAGAAGCATGGGCTGTAGAATTAGAAAGCTTAGACTGGAATTCTTCTTCCCTGATTTACTAGATTTAGTCAATAACATACACTCATGTCCAGATTCTCACCTAAAAATGAGAATAATATCATTTATTTAATAAGGTCATCATTAATATTTAATGAGATAGTATAAAGTAATCTTTTAGCACAGTACGTGGCGAAAGGTTCAATAAGCATTAGTTTTTCCTCATACTATTTTTTGAAATATAAACTTGTTTTGGTTCAGTTTTATATTTAAAGAAATTCTGAAAACAGTATAGATAATTTCTATTACTCTATACCCATGTCTCCATCTCGCAATATGGAATTTTTGTCATAATTAATGAACCACTTTGTTTTAAAATTTTTTGTTGTTACTATTATTACTGTGCAGTGCTAGAGATTGAACCCAGAACACTGTGCATGCTGGGCAATCACTCTACCACTGAGCCAAATCCCCAGACAAATATATTATTATTATTAACTGAAGTCCACACTATTCACGTTTCCTTAATTTTTTGCCTAATTATCTTTTTTTTTCAGTTCTAAAATCCCATTCATAGTACCATATTACACCTAGCCCTTTTAGTTTTGAGTTTCATAGATTTGCCTTGTATGTGATGACTTTTGACAGTTTTGAGGATTAGATATTTAAAGAAAGCTCCTCCATTACCATTTGTCAGATATTTCTTTCCTCACAAACAGAGCAGGGTTATAATTACTGAGAGGAAGATCACAGGAGTACAGTGCCATGTTCCTTACATTATAGCAAAGGTGCATAATATCTTTATGATTAATCACTGTTGATGTTAACTTTGACTACCCAGCCGAGATAGTGTTTGTCAGTTTTCCTCACTGTAAAGTTTCTCTGATCTCTGCTTCCCATGTAAAGCTCCAATTTAATCAATGGGAAGTTATATTCCATCTCCTTGAGCACGTAATATCTACAAAAAATATTGAGAATTTTTTCCCAGGAAGATTTACCTCTGCATCTGTTTATTTATCATTAATTTTAAAAAACAGAGCTATATAAAGTCCTCCAGATAAGCAGAGGTGGGTCATATTGCAACTTCACGGAGAGTAAGGAGGTTGGATGAGTGCGTAAGAGAGACACATTTGTTTAGAGTTCATCCTCAATTGCACAGGATCAGAATATGACTTAGTAATTTGTCTTAGTTCTCATCACTTGACATTAGCTGTGGACATACCATTGATTAGGACATCACTGACTCAAGAACTAAGGTAGGTGAACATGGAGGCTCATCAGCAGATCCTGCCAAGGCAGCAAATAAAGACAAAGCTAGTGACAAAAGGCTGATGCAGTCCTGATACACTTAGGTTTCCTGAGGAAATTATCCATGCTATTACTCAATTTACTAGTGTCACTATCATCTCTAGGACAACACAGAGCAAAGGTGACTCATGTATATTACTTTTAAAAGCAATGTAATTATGTATGTAGCTATTCCTCCTAAGCTTATGGGTAGTAAGATAGAAGTTTTCTTAAAAAAAGTGTGGGGGGGGAATACATGAAGTTCTTTTGAATTTTTTATTGGATACCTGTTGAATGACTATTTAATGAAGATATTAGAAACTGCTATTTGAATAGTAAAATTTACATATAAAATAGTATTCAGTTCATATCCACTCTAAAATTGAATATTGATATATCATATGATTATTACACAATCATCTGAATTGTCATTTGCAAATTTTGTGTTATGTCAGTAATTCAAATAATCTCATGACGTTTAAATGAATGATTTGTATATTAACAGCAGTATTAATAGATGCTCTTCTTTTCTCGATTAAACAAAAAATAATAAATAAAAAGGTATAATGTTTTTTCCTTTATTTGTTCTTACTCTTTTAATGATAATTAGCTACTTCCTAAGGGTACTAGTTGCCACAGAGACATCTGTGTACCTAATGTTTCTCTGGTTAGCTGACAGAATAAAGATAATTTTCTACATTTAATGTATACAATGACATTCATTGAATACAGATCGTTTTTAAAGACAATGTGGCTTTTCTTATATAGTATTAGACTTACATTATGTGAATCATCTACTGCTTGATGAGAATCTTCTTTTATCTTTTGTGCATTTGGCATTAAGTATCATTAGGCTTAGGCAGGCTTTACATAGCATTTTGGCATTTTTTGATTACAATTTGAAAGAAGTATAATTGTTAACTCTTTTCTTTCAAACTTAACTGCTACAAATCTATACAATTTTAAGCTACAGGAGATTTTTTAATCATGTGCTTATTTTGAAGAAGAATTTGAGGTGGCTTATCACATGAGACATAATGTCAATAATAAAGCCATTACAGAAAGAAAATACACTCTGAAGCGTATGTAACTCAAAGGAGAAGAACACAGCACTAAAGTAATTTAAGGTAAAGTTGCTAGAATCAAGCAGAATTGAGCATAAATCTAATTTTTACTCTCCTAATAGCTAAGGTAAAAAAGAATGTTGTTTGGAGGATATCATTCTATAATGAAAAAGTGAACACAAAATTACGTATAGCAGAACTCGGGTAATATAAACTTCTTGATAT